CGGCAGCCCCCGGGGCTGCTGCTGTGGCGGCGCCGGCTCTGCCAGCCTCCCTCCTCCTCCGTCCCACCGGCGGCTCCTGTTTTATTTACTTTTCCCGCTGAAACGGAGCGGCTCCGCGTTAAGCGGAGGTTCCCACAGCCCACCCTTCTTTTGCGAGGCTGAAGAGCAGGAAAGCCTCCCTAACGAGCCGGGGCCGCTGCGGAGGTTTCTAATCCGTATCTGATCCCCGTGAGAGATCAATGAAACGATCAATCGCGGCCTCTCCTCAAGCGCTCCCTCACCCTCCCGTCGAGGAGCGATCTAGCCCGGACCCACACTACTCCTCCCCAGCCACCAGTGCCCAGGTGGCTTTGCGAGGCTGAAGAGCAGGAAAGCCTCCCTAACGAGCCGGGGCCGCTGCGGAGGTTTCTAATCCGTATCTGATCCCCGTGAGAGATCAATGAAACGATCAATCGCGGCCTCTCCTCAAGCGCTCCCTCACCCTCCCGTCGAGGAGCGATCTAGCCCGGACCCACACTACTCCTCCCCAGCCACCAGTGCCCAGGTGGCCAGGTTTGGGCTCTAGCCTGCAGGTCACCCGGCCAAACGCAGGGTGAGGCGTCCAGCAGCACCTCCATCCCTCCTTGCCTGCAGCCCGCCAAGGCGGTGGACCCTCTGGGACAGGCCCCGGCTGAGGAACTGGGTGCATTTCCCAGCTTACGCAGCTGAAGCGGTCGCTGTGCACGGGTAGGCCCGTGGAGCCGCTGGCGCACGTGTCACTCGCGTGCTCTTTGGGAAACACTTCCCCAGGTTGTAATCATTCCTGGCTGCTAGTCTCTGGTGCTGGCACGCAGTGGCCCCGCTGTAAAAGTAATGAAAATGCAGTTTTCCCAGGCTTTGAATGTGAACCCGTGTCGAGAAAAGAAATTCATTAGTATTTAATGTTTCTGATGGATAAGGCAGGTGGCCTCAAAAGAAGTGGATGTGCTGTTCGGTGGAAAGCCTTATTGTTGGAAAGGAGATGGATGATTAAATGTAGCATCATCTGCGCTTCCCTATGTGGAAAGTAACCATCTAGCAGTGAATGGGGAAAAGCCAGCACGTGGGTCATTCATGTTAAACCTGAGCATGGTAGGCAAGAAGCTGAGTGGGAGAGGAGTTGAAAGGGCAAAGTTTACTTGTTTGGGGTTTTTTTTTTTTTTTTTAGGCAAATGTAAAAATGTGACTAGAGGCTATACAGTATGTTATGCTACCCATCAGACTTGGCTACAGAGTCAAGCTTGAAGAACACTGCTCTTTTCTTGCCAACTTATTCAGCCTACAGTCACTCAGCCTACAACAGCTTGTCAGCTCTACTGAAAAGAGCCAAATCAGACTTTACCATAATGTTTCTTCCCCTCTCCCTTGCAAAAGACAGTACGTTTCTTGAATCAGATTGGGCAGAATTTCTTGTGGTATCTGGCCAAGAGTTCTGTTAATATCTCTTCTGTTCAGAAGAGGCAGCCTGGTCCTGTTAACTGTTGAGTGCTGAAGAAAGCAATTCTTTCTCATGGAGTTGCAGGAATGTTCTGTTCGTAACGCATCTATGTTTTTATGAGCTTCAGCAAACTAAACACAGAGGGAGATAGGCAAATGTAAAAATGTGCGGTTTCAAGTGCTCGCCCTGTTACAGCCAAGGCTGCTTTTGACATAAAAGCTACTCTATAATTTTCACAAGATTTAGAAGAAAATTGGGGTGATTCTTTTTTTCACCGAGTTCTCACTCTGTGTTAGTGGCATCATGAGAGCAGAAGTTTCTTGTGACCACTCAAACCATCTGCATGTTTTCAAATATTGGCCTGGTCCTGAAATACCCTAAAGCTGAGCCTCACCTTATGCCAAAAGTCGTTTGGGAATCGACGGGGGATGGTTACATGAGTAAGAGCTGCTAACAGGCAGTTATGGCTTCCCCTTAGAAAGTGAATGTTTCTCCAGGATGAGAGCTGCTTAGCACCAAAATAAAACCCCCATGATTTGATAGAGATTTGTTTTGGCAAATACTTCTAATTTCTTCGGCATCTGTAGCAACAACTTACTACTTAGCGACCCTAGATGTACTTTTCTCCCTCTGAAGCTCTCCATTCAGTTATTTGTTGACTCCAAGGTGAGAATAGCATGGGGTTTAGGGACTTCTAAAATTTCTTTGTATGTGTGTGTGGCTTTGAAAATCTGTTGTTCCAAAGCGACTTTGTTTTGTTATCCCTTTACTATCCATCCCTTTTTAGCAGTTGAACCTTCCTGCCATTCTTTACGGCCCTTTTGGGCATGCTTCATAAAGTGCCATTATAGATGTTGAGTTCACCGCCTCTAATTAAGATACAAAAATTCATACATCTGTAAGTCACCTAAATTGCAGCATAGTATTTTGCAGAATGGAGTTTCAGGGGTTGATGCTAGAGCCATATACTCGAAAAAAGCAGAAATGCAATAGTTACCCTAAGTCCTTAATCAGTTTTAATGATTCTCATCAGAGCCCTGCTAACTGTAGCGCTTGAGCTTTCTTGCTAATGTCCTGGAATTCCAAAGTAATGCTGCGTGTTTCTTGCTACTTATTATAACCACCTGCAAAGGAATGCAAAGGGCACCGGTATTCAATCAAAATGCACAACAATGAATGAAGCATTCTTAACTTCACGCTATACATGCTTGCACAAATAAATAGAAGGAGCAGGGAGGTGGTATTTTTCTGCCTGAAAGTCTTTCAGATCTTGTACGTTGCATGCGTTAACTTTCATTTGAAAGTTGCCAGCAGCAGACTATCTGAGGGGTTTGGTTGCTTGTCTCAGTTGCTGATATTTTTTTTCTTTCTTTTTTTTTTTTTTTTTTTTTTATTTTCCCTGTTTAATCAAATTAGAAGTTTTGGAAGAACTGCCAGAAACAAGTGGGAAAACAGCACGGCGTTTCTTCTTTAATTTAACTTCCATCCCTAATGAGGAGTCTATCACCTCAGCTGAACTCCAGATTTTTCGGAAACAGGTGCACGGAGGCTTTGAGAACAACAGCAGCTATCATCACCGTATTAATATTTATGAAATTATAAAGCCAGCCACAGCCACCTCTAAGGACCCTGTCACAAGACTTTTGGACACCAGGTTGGTGCATCATAATGCAAGTAAATGGGAAAGTTTTGATGTAACACCAGCTGTTTTGAGGTGGATTGCACATGGACAACCTAATCATGGGTTTGTGGTAGAGGTGGTTCACTTGGACAAAGAGAACAGTGCCTCCAAGAGGCACGTTAGGATTAGCAGGTCTTTACATCAGGATGAAGATAGCTGGTCTCAGCTCAGGCCATTATTAGTAACGTTTGGGCATGATGGCAAGGGACACCCGCTTCATAAAAGAGAAAAGCGTCAAGCAAAACACAAACAGCGTAAACGCCACAAATACAGTTGCAAAAGGCATCCGTTATATGTGGACTTCAATGATGTGGGGTGGAATGACTGGATTGTTGCCCCGCCGGGGTATAGTGCCTTTTACTGCCATGGGGAATGTCCTTTTCCGCTGGCAGATCATCTAAACTCAACAAACCATGCCATTGTTCAGACTTTGGTCAATTCAGTGAATTCCAAAATCCCCAAGGCTTGCTGTGTGCCGACAGAACTGAGTGCTATTTCCATGCTCTACCTTGACGAGAATGAAAAAGTTGTATTAAAGAACTATCAAGATATGGTTGTGGAGGGTTGTGGGTGCCGCTAACACAGCAAATATATTAGACAAATACAAAAAAAAAAAAGAAAAGCTGACACTTTAATATTTCCCAATGAAGACTTTATTTATGTAATGAAATGGAAAGAAAAAAAAACACAACTATTTTGAAAATATATTTATGTCTACAAAAAAGTTGGGAAAACAAATATTTTAATCAGAGAAATATTCCTTTAAAGATTTTAAATGTATTTTAGTTGTACATTTTATATGGGTTTAACCCCAGCACATGAAGTATAATGGTCAGATTCTTATTTTGTATTTATTTACTATTATAACCACTTTTTAGAAGAATAGCTAATTTGTATTTATATGTAATCAAAAAGAAAAAAATATAGGGTTTGTACATAATTTTCCAAAATTGTAGCTGTTTCAATTGTGTGTATTTAAGTTGAAAAGAATACATGGAAGGTTACTATGGCAAAGTGCATGGCACATTTGCTTTCTGCTGTGCTACTGTTAAGGTCACAAGTTCAAGTCCAGAAAAAAGTGGATAATCCACTCTGCTGACTTTCAAGATTATTATATTGTACAATTCTCAGGAATGCTGCAGGGTGGGCTGTCCAATCCATGAGAACTGGCATCCTCTTTAGGTGGAACATTTGGATAAGAACCAGACGTTGCTGATCTAGTATAAATACTGCTATTCCCAACTAATTTGCAGTGTGAATATAAGAAGGGCCAATAGAAATCCTGCGGGAGGCGGGGGTGGGGGAAGACTGAATCCTTTCTAGACCTACAGAAAAGTGAATGTTTGATGTTTCCTTTAAAAGTCCTTCCTTTAAAAGTCCTGGCCAAATATAAAATAATAAAAACTAAAATGTCATCCTTTTTTTTTTTTTGTCATTATGTACGCTAAAGAGGAATAATTACCTTATTTGTACTAGCCCTTGTCTTTAACAGTCGGAAAAGCGTTGCAGACTTCCTCACTTCAGATGAGAGCTCGCTTCTGTGGAGTGTTATAGTGAAATTAATCTTCAATTTTTGCCCTATATGCAGCAAGCTGTTGTCATATACAGCCTTCTATCTAACCTCAGCTGATGGTTTTGCAGTTTAGCTTGGCTTCCTTTCCAGGGTTTTGTGTTTGAAAGCTTCCCCCCTCCTCTCCCCCCCAGATGTCTAAATCTATATTTCTTTCTGGAAAGTCCAGTCTGTAAGAAAAAATGGTTCACTTGTGCAGTCATCACAAGGATAATTTGTGCTTACATCTTCTTACTTTTTAAGCCCCTCATGTCAGGGGTAAAAGCCTGATTTGCAATTGGCGAACACAGCATTAAAGCTAATACTTAATTATGCCTGTTGTGTGTTAAAAGACCACTATGGCAGTCAGGTTACGAGCTGTACAACATGGGATGAGCACACAGAGGCTGGGTTGCTCATTGTGTGAAAGTCGTGCTGAAATAGTAGAGCAGGAAAGTAGCTTAAATTGGCTTCTTGGTGATCCACTGCAAAGTGCGCTGAAGCCAGGAACAGAAGGAAACTGTGTTAGACTGCTAGTGGTAAGTTACTGCCTACTTCAAGGAGCTCTCCGGTGTCTGTAGTGGAAATATCATGACTGTGCTGATACATCCAGAGATGCCAGAACGCCCTTGCGCTCCGTGGTGGATCCATTTCTGGATATGGTGAACTGAGGCAGCACTTCCTAAAGCCGTGTGTACGTTAGGCCCCTCTTTAAGTCAACTCTGGGAATCTCTGATTTGGGCCTCCTATTAACCTAATTTTTTATTAACAGAAACCTCTTCTTTCTCATGGCCCTCCCCAAACTCCTGCTTTTTTACCAGAATCATCTGGGTTTCAGCGAAGGTACTAAATAGGTCTGTTGATCAGAAAGGCTAATGATGATGTCTTGCAGGTCTTCTTACAGAACAGTTCTCTACTGCTAATCATCACAAAAAGCAATAGAGGACAGCAGAGAAAAACTAATTTCCTGTTGGCTGCTTCCATTTTTCTCTTGTGAGCTTAAAAATATCTTAAGCTAGGTGTAAGTTTCTATGGTGAGGTAAAGGCTTAGATATTTCTTTGTACCAGCAGTATTTTTAATAGCTAGTAGAGAACAATCCACTGCTCTGCTTATTTTTGAGAGGTAGGTGATGTTATTGGTCATGCTGACACTACATCGTAGCCTATGAGTTTACTAGGTGGACAACCTCTATCAAAAGACCAGGGCTGTTTTGTTGGCTCATGTTTTTAGTTGAGAGCATCATATGTGCAGAAGTTTAGTTTGCCTTTTGCTTGTTTGCCAGCTTTACTGGTGATGAGTGAGTTTATGGCTGTTGCTTTGGGCAAGTTGTCAGTCTCAGGGTGACACAGTGAAGGTTCTTCAAGAATTCATAGATGGTTTGCAATGCGTGGTTATACTTGTCAAGTCATAGCAGCACTAGCGTACTCTATAACCTAAGCTTGCAAAAGCTGGACATAAAATGCTGAAAAATGGAAGACTGCACCATTTCTGTGAGCAGGAAATGTCTGATCCCAAACCTGCTGAAATCAGTACAGACCCTGTGGCACTTCTAACCAGATCCTAAACTCCAGTGTTGCAAGGCTTAAGTTTCATAGCGCCTAGCCCTTCGTGTGTAACTAGATTGAGGGAGGCTTTTTACGGAGTGGTGACTGCTTTACTTCTCCTCTAAGGCATGAGAACACATTGATGCTAATCTTGTTTCAAAAAAATTGGCTATGGCGCCTGTCTATGCATGAGCAGTAGCTGGCTCATGGTGTGAAGATGCATTCCTTGTAAAGGCAAACCTCCCGTTGCTTGACAAAGAATTGCATCCTTAGTAAAACATGCTGTGAGACCAATGTATAATTGTAAACCTATTAAGACCCACTCTTGTAAGCATTCCTATCCCTGCTTAGTGTTAGTCACAGAATCATCAGTTCCGTACTGATTTTGAGGAGGAAATACGCTTGTGTCAATCTCAGCACATCGATAAATTTCTGCAGTTCCAATCCAGATTGGATTTGTCATGTATCTTTAAATCCTTAACTCTTAGCCTCTCTCTCCAGATTGGAGATGTGAGAGTGCTGCACTGAATAGTTTATTCAGGATTTAAAAAAAAAAGAAACAAAACAGACTTTCATACATGAGTAGTAGAAAATTCTCCTAGAGATCAGTTGGGTTCCTGAACTCTGCTAAATAGGGTTGATGATCAGACAGTCCTTCTGGAAGATCTGGGCTTTCTGACATCTTCTAAGTCTGGTAATGACTGCTAAATAATCCTAAATACTAAAGGTATGCTGTTACCACAGTACTCCCGTACTTACTTTAGTTCTTTAGTGCTTAGTAGTGTTATAGTGCTCTACAAGAAAAAATGAGACTTTTTTTTTCTCCTCTTAAGAGGAAAAAAAAGCGTATCTCGAAGGCAAAACTGCCTTTGTTACCCTATAGCCTGTTTCCCCTAAACATATTGCTTCTAGGCACTTATATAATCTATATAGGCAGAGATTGTGATAGATAATGTCACCCTTTGTGCATTTCAGATAAGCATCTCTCTAAACACAAATGTGATCAGCATCTCTCCTTGTCCTTTTGAGACTCAGTAACAGCTTTGTCGAGTGGCTTGATAATTTTTGCGCAAAATTCAATTGGACTTCTGTGGTCAGCAACATGTAAAAATGACGTGGGAAGATCTTCAGTTGAGGTAAGCTCTCCCGAGAGCATTGGCCATTTTCACCGAGCAGGATCTGCTCTGCTGTGCTCACCTGGGCTCATCATAATCAGGCATTGAGACCTTTCCTGCTCCTATGGTAATTGGGTTTGGGTGTCCACAGACTGTCACCTGCTTCCCCCCCGCGAGGCAGTTAAGGTCTCACTTAGGCAATCAGTACTGATGAGGCTTGGAGAGGAACATGATTTATTGTACTCTCAGCTTTGAAGAGGGAGCTCATCTGGACTGCATTTATATTAGGTCCACTTTGCTACGCTATTAGAAGAGGATAATTATTGAACTATTTTATTGTACAGCTATTCCTAAATTGTTGATTTTTGGGGTGTTTTTTATTGATTTCAGGAGGCAGCTAATTGCCATATGGCAGCTTGATGTTAATGTTTTATGAAGATCAGGAAACAAAAGTTTATGAAAAGCTTTTGTATAGTAACTGCAGAGTTTCAAGAACTGTTTTATACTTCCTGACAGTGCAGGTCTGGCTTAATGGTTTGTTTTTATTGCTTAAGAGTGTAAACCTTTCTTTAGCCGATGTGTGGAAATTATATCCTCATCCTGCATTACGCATTTCTCATTGCTCATTACTCATTCCCTGCTTTCATTTCTGCCATCTGTAATCAGAGCTTTACTGTTTCAGCTGCATGCAAAATGCTCCTATCCTTTTGCACGGTAAGATACTTTTCCTTAGCACTCACCCACCCTTTCAAAAAAAAAAGGGGGGGGCGAGAAAAAAGGAGGGAAAAAAAAAGAAAAAGAGGAAAAGCCTACTCTGTCTATATTGTTTTTCTCTGTTTTGGGTGGAGTCTGTCTTAGATTCTGGTTGCTAGATGGTTTCTGTAGTAACAAGCAGAGAAAAATCCAAGACTGAAAAGGCACTTTTAAAGGTGCCATATCTTGCCTGAAGTATTATTTATCTAATTATGGATATGGAATGTTTCTCTTCTCCTTTATATTAAGGCTACCCCTTTTGATTCGGCAGACTGCTGCTATGAGAACTTGATTTGTTGTGTTCTTACAACACAAGAACATGAGAACCACGAATCTTGTTCCCAGTTGACTTAAGCTGCTCAAAATAATGATGAAAAGCCAAAGGCATTAAAATGTATTTTTAAAGAAGTTATAAATGGTTGTTACAGGCACAAACCACTTTGTTTTCTAGTTACATAGGAAAGAAAAAAGAAGCGAGGTTCAGAAGGACACTCGAATTTTACATATTATTGCTGTAAGGAGGGTGTTGGATAAAAGTGGCAGCCTTTTATTTTGTTAGACTACTACGTACGAGGAAAAAATCCCAGCTCCTTACTCTGCTGTACTCCATTTTTTTTG